GTAACGTGATGTGTTACGAGTGTTCGTCGTGGACACACCCGCTGTGTGCCGACCCCTTCAACTTCACACTCTCCCTGGAGAAGGGTCCTCCTGTAGCCTCCTGTGACGGTTGCTGCGTCAAGCTTGTACAGAACATTGGAACGCGTGAGTAACCTTTCTATTCTCTTTAATTTCCTCTCCAATTTCACATGGAAACAAACAGAGACGAGTAACAAAATTTTCACTGACAACTATTGCATAAGATTTACCAGTGACGTAATAAGAGAAATACAACATTGTACAGTATATTAAGAGCATTTGCTTATATAAAGAGTATACCCACGGTATATAAACTAGACATACAATATGCACTATGCCATTATTTTGTGAGGACGTTTAGTTCACCAGTAACTATCAATCCACCTTAAACTGACGAAGTTCCGGTGGACGAAACGTTTATATAATAAAATGTCAGAACCCACATTGTGTTTATTAACAGCAAGAGGATTTTCATCCCTAAAATAAAGATTAACGTTGCCTCACCATGTATATACACAGACATACACACCTTTTGGTAAGCTCACAGTGTGATTATTGCTGAAAAGAATCTCACGCACATGCGATATTCCCCTAATCATTACCCCCCTACATGACAGTCTTACGTCACTAATTGAGACGTTTCGCCCAGCAGGGGAGCTTCATCAATCAATCAAGTTTATTCTCTATAAGAATTACAATGCGGGGTTTATTTATTTATTTATTTATTTATTATAAATTTGTGCACACATACAGAGGTACAAAAAAATACAGATAAGAGCAGTATGCCAAAGCCACTTATACTATGCATAGCATTACGGGCTGGCTTAAAATTAACTTAAGATTAATTAAGCAATGATGAAGTCAGTGATAAAACATTAATGTAAACAGATTACTATAAAGCACAAGTGAGTATTACAAAGACAGGTCATATGAAGGATTCTGTTAGGTAGTGTATTTAAAAAATAATAAAGTTAGATTGGGTTTTAGGTTTAACATTTATGTGATATAATTGTGAGAAACATTTAAGATATACAATTTATAAGGTTCAGTTATTCAGTATTTATTTGGTTTTGGGTGAGTAAGTGATCTTTGAGTAGAGACTTGAATTTATAAACAGGAAGTGTTTCTTTTATATTTACAGGTAATGAATTCCAGATTTTAGGGCCTTTTATGTGCATTGAGTTTTTGCATAGTGTGAGATGAACACGAGGAACATCAAAGAGTGATCTGTGCCTTGTGTTATGGTCATGTGTTCTGTTGAGGTTGGCAAGGAGATGTTTGAGGGGAGGGTTAATATCAGAGTTAAGTGTTCTATGTATGTAATAGGTGCAGTAATAAGTATGGATGTTTTGTATGGTGAGTAGGTTTAGTGTATTGATTATTATTATAATCAAAAAGAAGCGCTAAGCCACAAGGGCTATACAGTTAGTGTATTGAATATTGGTGGAGTGTGCTGCCTGTAGTGAGAATTTGTTATCATTCTAACTGCAGCCTTTTGTTGGGTAATTAGTGGTCTGAGATGGTTACTGTTGTTGAGCCCCATGCACAAATTCCATAGGTGAGATAGGGGTAAATAGAGAGTGATATAGGGCCAGGAGGGCTGACTGTGGAACATAGTACCGTATCTTCGATAGTATGCCTACAGTCTTGGAAATTTTCTTAGAAATTTGTTGTATATGTGTATGAAATTTGAGTCTATTATCAAGGTGGATTCCTAAGAATTTTCCCTCTGTTAGCTTTGTGATAGGTGATCCGTTTATCATTATGTTAAGAGGGACATCTGTAGCTCTGTTACCAAACTGAATGAAGTAGGTTTTGTCAATGTTTAGTGTAAGTTTGTTAGTCCTCATCCAGGTAGATATTTTCTGTAATTCGGTATTTACAGTATTGGCTAGTGTGGACTGGGCTCGGGTGAGAGAAGACGTATGTAGTGTCATCTGCAAATAGTGTGGGTTTGAGTAATTGCGAAGCATTTGGAAGGTCATTTATGTATAGGAGAAAGAGAAGAGGGCCAAGGACACTTCCCTGTGGGACACCAACTGTAATTGGTTGCGCAGAAGAGTTTGCCCCATTTGCGTACACATATTGGCTTCTGTTGCTGAGGTATGACTTGAGGTAATTGAGGGAGTGCCCTCTTATACCATAGTGTGACAATTTTACGTGGAGCAAGTCATGGTCAACTGTATCAAAAGCTTTACGTAAGTCAATGAAGATCCCAGTGGGACTTCTTTTTTCTCTATTGCAGTGTATATATGTTCTAGCATGTGTATAATAGCATCATTAGTATTTTTATTAGGCCTGAATCCAAATTGGCAGGGGTTGAGTATGTTCTGGGAGATAAGGTAGGAGTAGATTCGTTTATGAATTAGTTTTTCAAAGATTTTTGAGAGAGGGTGTAAGTTGGATATTGGCCTATAGTTATTCAACTCTGTTTGGTCTCTTACAGATTTTGGTTATTGTGTGGTTTACATGTAATAAAATACTAATTACAGAGGGGGCCCCTAGGACACCTAGCATGGCTAGGCATTTCGGGCAAACTTAGATTAATTCGTAACCCTAAATTATTACAAATTATGGAGTAAGTTGACTAAATACTAAGTGACTAAATACTAGTTTGTGAGTTTAGCAATGTGAATGCTTTTGTTTTGGCACAATACATAGTTTCTATATTGGAGTATCACAGGCAAACTTATGACTAGTTAGGAATCATTATTTTAAGATTAAGATTCGTATTTCTGTACTTATAGTCAAATGGGTGAGTAAGTGTGAATCACCAGGTGGTTTTTATGTAGTTAGTTTACGGGGTGTATCAGGGATAAGATGTTTTCTAACGGTAGTTTTGAAGGTGATGAATGTGTCTGCAGTTCTAGAGTTTTCAGGTAGGGTGTTCCAAATTTTAGGGCCTTTGACATACATTGAATTTTTGTAAAGGTTTAGTCGGACACGGGGAATGTCGTAGAGATGTTTGTGTCTGGTGTTATGCCTGTGGGTCCTGTCACAACTATCAAGAAAGCGTTTTAGGTCAAGGTTAATATTGGAATTTAAGGTCCTGTAGATGTAGATTGCACAGTAATAAGTGTGGATGTTCTGAACAGGGAGTAAGTTTAGATCTATGAAGAGTGGGGGGGGGGGGGTGTTGCCAGGGATGGGATTTAGTGATTATTCTTACTGCTGCTTTTTGTTGAGTTATTATTGACTTTAGGAGTGTTGCTGCAGTTGATCCAAGCACAAATAGCATAGGTGAGGTATGGATAAATGAGTGAAGGGTATAGTGTGAGAAGCGCATTTTGCGGCACGGAGTATCGTATCTTGGAGAGGATCCCAACTGTTTTGGATACTTTTTTTTGTTGTGTTGGATATGGGTGCTGAAATTCAGGTTGTTGTCGAGGTTTAGGCCTAGGAATTTACCCTCATTATGTCTGGCAATTAGAGTGTTGTCGATCTTAATGTTAAGTTGCGCAACACCTGCTCTGCTACCAAACATAATATAGTAGGTTTTGTCAGTGTTAAGTGTAAGTTTATAGGTTGTCATCCAAGTCGATATTTTGAGCAGCTCCTCGTTAACAATGGTGTTGAGGGTGGCAAGATTAGGGAGAGAGATGACATAAGTCGTGTCGTCAGCAAAGAGAATGGGTTTCAGGTGTTGGGATACGTTTGGAAGATTATTGATGTAAATGAGGAAGAGCAGGGGTCCAAGGACACTTCCCTGCGGAACTCCAGTATCAAGTGGCCGTGTTGATGATGCTGTGTCTTTAATGGTGACATACTGATACCTATTAGTAAGGTAGGATTTGAAATATGCAAGCGCATGGCCTCTTAATCGGGTACAGAGACTACGCAAGAGAGTATGTGTAGTGGGTAGAGTGAGGTGCTATATGGGCTATGGACTGAGTTTAGGTGATATCAGTTTGGGGAGGATGTCCAGTGTGTTGGAGATCATAATGCTGCCTGTGTTTCAAGCGATGCTGTTGGTAGTGGTTGTGGTGGTAATGATGGTGGTGGTACTGTGGTAGTGATTGTGTTGGTGATGCTGGTGGTAGTGGTACTAGTGGTGGTAGGGGTACTGGTGGTGGTGGTACTGGTGGTGGTGGTACTGGTGGTGGTAGGGGTGGTGGTAGTGGTAGGGGTGGTGTGTAGTGGTAGGGGTGGTGGTTGTGGTAGGGGTGGTGGTTGTGGTACGGGTGGTGGTAGTGGTGCGGGTGGTGGTAGTGGTGCGGGTGGTGGTAGTGGTGCTAGGGTGGGGTACTGTGGTGGTGGTACTAAGGGTGGTGATAATGGTACTAAGGGTGGTGATAGTGGTACTAAGGGTGGTGATAGTGGTACTAAGGGTGGTGATAGTGGTAGGGTGGTGATGTGGTAAGGGTGGTGATAGTGGTAAGGGTGGTGATAGTGGTAAGGGGGTGGTGGTAAGGTGGTGATAGTGGTAAGGTGGTGGTTGTGGTGGTAGTGGTAGTTGTGGTGGTAGTGGTAGTTGTGGTTTTAGTGGTAGTTGTGGTTTTAGTGGCAGTTGTGTTTGTGGCTAGTGGTAGAGTGTGGTGGTATGGATGGTGGTTAGTGTATGGTGGTGGTAGTTTGGTGGTGGTAGTAGTTGTAGTGGTATGGTAGTTGTGGTGGTAGTGTAGTGGTCGGGGTGGTGGTAGTTGTGGTGGTGGTTGTGGTGGTGGTGGTGATAGTTGTGGTGGTAGAGGTGATAGTTGTGGTGGTCGGGGTGGTGGTAGTTGTGGTGGTGGTGATAGCTGTGGTGGTCGGGGTGGTGGTAGTTGTGGTGGTAGAGAAACATCGTCCGTGACGTAGCTCAGAGTCCCCGATGGACAAACGTTTTTCCTTTTCTCTGTATTGCATCTATCAGGTCCCACTGGGTGAAACATCTCACAAGTAGTCCAAGCATCTCACCTGTGTCTCACACACCTCTCAGTGTATATATATATATACACACACACACACACACACACAGAAAACTTTCAATGTATATACACTGAGAGAAACACTCTAGGCATTTATATACACTAGAAAAATACACACCTGTTGATTTTTTATTTTTTTATTAACATACTGGCCGATTCCCACAAAAACCTCTCGATGTATATACACTGAGAAATACATACCTCTCGATGTATATACACTGG